AGCAGCTCAAAATCTTATAGAAATGATGTATTTTGTTTGTTCCTCACGATGGACCAAAATCAATACTTTTATTCATTGTTCTTTAAGGGGTGAAACTACCCTTTAAAGTTTGATATCTTTTATTCTATCTCGATAACTATTGCAGATAGAAAACATTTTTTCAAATAAAAATTATACGGTTTTTTATGAAAAATGAAATAGGCTTGGTTAAAATACAAAAAATATTTTTAATAATAAGCAAAATGGCCGTATTAGGTTTAATTAATTAAATTATTAATTTTATTATGTAGAAAAAAAGTTAGCATTTTTCATTCTGAATCTACCCATATATAATGTTATTTCTTATGTTTTATATTTAAATTATACATTATATTTAAATTGTACATTGCAATTTTATAAGTGGTGATATCATAAGCAAAGTGCTTGGTAACATGCGTATGCGCTTAATCGCGACATTGCTACGCAAATGACGGATGTCTATTTATATCTTTTGAACGCATTTTAATTAATACAACAATATACAATAATTCAGAAACTATCAGGTTGTCTAAAAAGTATTGAGCCTTTTGTGCACGAGATAGCGTTAGTATCCTAAATCTCAAGGTATATGAGTCGCAGCAGGTCAGACTTAACGTCATGTGACAATTGAAGCTAGTAGACGTACAAAAAGTGTTGGAATTTTTATAATCAGACGTAAGGTATTGCGCCGTGAAGATGAGTGAACTTTCCGCAAAACTACGCCACATTTTACAATTTTATTTCGATAAAGGCGCAAATGCTGCGCAGGTCCGTGAAGAAATTTGTGCTGTTTATGAGCCAGATACGTTATCAAAAGCAACAGCCAAAAGATGGTTCGTTGCTTTCATTCTGGAAATTTCGATGTCCAAGATACTCTTCGCCACCAAGTGGGCCACCAATCATAGAAAAAATGGATGATATTCTGGCAAAAGTCGAGCAAGACCGGCATGTGAGCAGTCATGACATCGTCAATGACCTAAACATCCATTACCAAACAGTGTTAAACCATTTGGAGAAAGCTGGCTACAAAAAGAAGCTCGATATTTGAATGCCACATGATCTGATTCAAAAAAATTTACTCGATCGAATTTCTAACTGCGGATCTCTATTGAAACGTAACGAAATCGAGCCATTTCTGAAGTGGTTAATCACGAGTGATGAAAAGTGGATAACCTACGACAACAATGTGCGAAAAAGATCGTGATTGAAGCGAGGAGAAGCTCCACAGTCTGTGGCAAAGCCCACACTGACGCCCAGGAAGGTTATGCTGTGTGTTTGGTGGGATTGAAAGGGCATCGTGCATCATGAGCTGCTGCCGCTAGGCAGAACGATAGACTCAGACCTGTACTGTCGACAATTAGCGCGATTGCACCTAGCAATTCGAAAGAAACGGCCGGAATTGGTCAACAGAAAGGGTGTCGTATAACACGCTGACAACGCCAGACCGCATATATCTTTAACGACTCGTTAGAAATTGAGAGAACTTGGCTGGGAGGTTTTAATGCATCCACTGTATAGTGGACCCGGACCTGGCACCGTCAGACTATCATTTGTTGCGGTCCCTGCAGAATGATGTTAAGTTAGTTTCAAAAGAGGCCTGTGAAAACCGCGTGTCACAATTTTTTGACCAGAAACCACAGAAGTTCTATAGCGGGATAATGGTGTTGCCGGAAAAATGGCAGAAAGTCATCGAACAAAATGGTGCATATGTGGTTTTATAACGTTATTTTCAAATAACAATAAATGTATTCTCATTTGAGAATACATTTATTGTTATTTGACCTCCAAAAGCTCAATACTTTTTAGACAATCTAATATTAACACATAAACGCGGGTCGCCGAAAATTTTTTTTTATTTGTAATATATATTCCACATCACATTATTTTTGAGTGTATTTAATATAACAGACGAGAAAGGTATGCATGTCAATTTATATTAATATATTATACATATATTATATAGAGACATTACGATTTTAAATATTTATCAATGTCTAGGTATGTCTCTTGCTCTGCAATAAGTATGGTATAAATACTCTGCAATGAAACATTTCTTGTTATACGTTAAGGTGCTTGTAATATTGGATATGGGAATAAGTTTCCGCCCTTTTCAGAAAGATTTCGCCAGTGGTACTAATTTCGTGTTTGATGGAACGGCTATATTTGTGTTTTGAAGATGTATTTGTGAGCTTTGAATTGTAGTAGTAGACATTTGTTTGAAGCGTAAACATCATTTTTTTTCGCGTCGAAAATGGCAACATTTACCCCAACGAAGCATTTGCGGGAAGTGTTACTCCATTACTATATTCTGAAGAAAACTGCTGCTGAAATGCATCGAATGCTTGTTGATATTTACGGCGATCATGCTCCGTCGAGTACCACGTGTAAAGAATGGTTTCGGCGTTTTCGAAGTGGTGATTATGACGTAAGCGACCGAGAACGCGAAGAGGCACCTAAAAAATTCGAAGATGCACAACTGCAAGATTTACTCGAAGAAGATCCGAGTTGAACGCTCGAAGATTTTTCAAACGAGTTAAATGTTGATAGATCTACCGTCGGAAAACGTTTACATATGTTGGAAATGGTCCAAAAATCAGGAAATTGGTTGCCACATCAATTGAAGGAGAGAGACATTGAAAGACACGTCTGGTGACGTGCGAGATGCTGCTTCAAAGACAAAAAAGGAAGGGTTTTCTGCATCGAATTGTCACTGGCGATGAAAAATGGATCTACTACGACAACCCCAAACGACTGAAATCATGGGTGATGCCAGGTGAACCAGGTTCATCAACTCCAAAACGGAGTAACCATGGTTCAAAAGTTATGCATTTGGTGGAATCAGAAGGGCATTATTTATTATGGGCTTATTGTTAACTTATCGACCTTTGAAAATTACAAAATTATTAAATTAATAAAAGTTAGGGCACTATTATAATAGTATATCCTTGACAGTAAATAAAGTAAAAAAATCTAATACTATTTTCTCTTTCGATGAATAGTTAGCGAGATATCGTAAGGTAAATGTTGGAAAAGTTACCAAGTTTTCTTTAAATATCTCAAAATATATTAAGCAAATAAAAAAGGTTTCAGACAAAAGTTGTTCAAGTTAATTGATAGAAAATGATGATATAATAAAAAAATTTGGATTTCCATTTAAGAAAATTGATAATCAGCAAATATCTCGAAAATGGAGCCATTTATAAACAAAATGCTATCGCTGTCCTATGTCCCCCTTCAAGCTAAACAACTTTTGTCTTAAGCATTTTTCGATTTAACGCAGTGTTTCTGAGATATTTCTGAGATATGGGTTCTTTAAAATGGGACACCTTGTATATATACAGTGCCTGACGCAAGACATACCTTATAACTTACTTAATAACCATATAGAATGATAGAACTACTCACTGTCAACTTAAGCACAAGGATCCCTATCATTTTGTAAACAACTTATAAATCGAGATATTCATAAAAGAAAATTAGCGGATCACGTGCGCACGATATAATACATGCTCTGTAGATGTGAACTTAAAAATGGTTATATCTTACGTATTGAGAAACAATTTTCCGCGTGTCGCTCGTATCATTACGTTATCCTTAGCTACTAGCATATAGCTATTGTTGTTAAGAAGTAGTCGCTTTTCAATCATTTTCGACTAGCTTTTGTCATACAAAGCGCGTCCCATAGTGTCACTCGAGTTAATTCGATAATCTTCTCTCACGAATAACTTGAAATTACACGTTGTTTACAAAATAACAATGGTCTTTGTGCTCAGGTTGACGTACTTTGCCATTATTCGTGGATTGATACATTTTGCGGCAGACCCTGTATACAAAGTGGTCTTCTCAAATGGAACTTCTTAAATTAAAAAAATTTTTTTGATTATATGAAAAAATGTCTAAGGAAAAAATTGCATCATTCGAGGAGATAATTATAGTAACAGAAAAAATTATTTTTTTAAAGTCATTTTTCAGAGATTTGAATATCAAGGTACTTTTTTTTTCTTTATGGAATTATATATTTTTGTTTGCGCGCTTTTATAGCCAACATTGAAAAAGAGTTTTGCAACTTATCACAATATAACCTTTAAATGATCTTGAACATGAAAAATTACGAATGTTTGAAAAAAGTCATATATCTATGTTATTTAACACAAAAATTTGTTAAAGTACATGTTTAAAATGATGCTTACCGATCCCAATACCCTTTTGAATACGAAAATATAGATATATTTCTGTGGTTATTTTGTGCATATAAATATATATTTATTATTATAGTATATATTATTATAGTATATATTACAGTTTATTATTATAGTATATATTATAGTTTATCTTGATACTACAAATTCAGCATAATATTTGAAATACCTAATAAAATATTCATTTTTTTATGACTTCGCCTTTAATAAATAGAATAACGAGAAAAACCGAGATTGATTCAATTAATCCCTGTACTGATGCATTAAAGCTTCTACAAAATGCAATGATATTTTGTTTTTGTATGCTTTGTTCATATTAATCAATTGTTTCTATTATTCTACTTACAAAAATATTAAAATTTTTATTGTTTATTGTAAAACATTTATTGTAATATCTGTAAAAAATTACTATGGAATAGATTTTGGTCTATCTGTTATTTAATAGATTAGATTAGATTTTTGAAAACTGAACTTTAATGCTTTCCTTCGCTTAAAACAATTTTTATATTTGTTGAAATAAAGTTTGCTTTCTATCTGAAAAACTTTTCAATTTTAATAACGATTAATTCTCGAAATAAATTATAGTTACAATTTTGGAAGAAAGAAAAATTTGACTTCTGAATTCAATTCTTTTATTACTTTTATATGTAGATTTATGCTAAATACTGACATGATGATTATGATTATGCTTACGTTGTTTTGTATTGTTTGTACTAATACCTTTTAAATCTTTTATTTATTATCTGTAAGAAATCTATATTAAGTAATCAATTTTTATCTTAGGATAGAGAATCCAAGATACATGTTAGTTACCGAAAAGGTAGTGTGGACGAGGAATTCTCGGGAAGAATCAGAAATTTTGAAGATAAGCTGAAAGGAACAGCACCTTCTGAGAAGAAACCTAAGGACCTTTTACGTGCTATTGGTTTGTATATATTTTTTAATCTTTATATTCTTGTGGTAAAGGTTTTTTATAGCTAAATATAGAAATTTGAATTCTTCTAATGCGTGTGCGCATGCATGCGTGCACGTGTTGTGTATATATATCTGTATATATATGTATTAGGTTATTCGGAAAGTTCGTTTCAAATTTCGCGCGCTCCACATTTCTATGTAATCAGTAAGAGGGCGCTGTACGAGGGCGCTCTAAACGATTTTATGTTTGTCAACAAACATTCCCGGATCTATGAGCCCGCTAAGGAAACTTCGCAGATCTTCCTAAGTGCAACTATTTCGTCAGAAATCAGTTTGAAAAATGGAGAACCAAAAAGTCCATTTTCGTCATGTGATGCTATATTGCTTTAAACGTGGCTTCACGGCTTCGCAGACCCTGAATGAGATGTTCTCAGTATATGGAGATGCCTGCGTCACTCACCAGACAGTTCGAAAATGGTATCGAAGATTCGAAGCTGGCGATTTCAACATGGAATATCAAGCTCGCTCAGGCCGGCCTCAGGAGGTTGATGAAACGCTTCTTATGGATCTCGTGCACGAAAATCCTCGAGTGACAGAGAGAACTCGCCGACATTCTGCACAAGTCTGTTTCCACCGTGCATGACCATCTGAAGAAGCTAGGATTCTCAAGTCGACTGGATGTGTGGGTGCCACACGAAATGAATGAACGGCAGTTGCTGGAACGTGTGAACGTTTTGCGATATGCTGCAACGGCACCAAAAAGAACCGTTCTTGAAGAGGATCATAACAGGCGATGAAAGTTGGATCCTATACAATTATGTTAGCCGCAAGAGGTCGTGGGGAACCAGCGACGCATCTACGCAAACAGTGGCCAAGACGGGGCTTCATGCGAAAAAGGTTCTTCTGAGTATCTGGTGGGATTTTAAGGCCGTGGTATATTATGAGCTTCTTCAACCAAACGAAACCATCAACGCGGCGAAGTACAGCCTTCAACTGGACGAACTGAAGACTGCCATCGCACAGAAGCGCCTTGAATTGGCCAACAGGCGTGGAATTGTTTTCCATCATGATAACGCCAGACCTCACGTCGCAATGCCTATCCGTAGGAAGCTGTTAGACTTCGAATGGGACGTTCTTCCTCATCCTCCATATTCTCCCGACCTTGCCCCATCTGACTACTATCTATTTCTTTCTTTAAAAAATTTTCTTCGGGACAAGAAATTCGAGTCTTTGAAAGTCCTCAAAAGTCATCTTGATAAATTCTTCGCCAATAAGAAACCTTTATTTTGGAGCAAAGGCATCATGCAGCTTCCTGAAAGATGGGCCAAGGTCGTTGAACAAAACGGTACATATTTGCTTCTATAAAGTTCCTCTTTGTGTAAAATATTGCGCTCTTAATTTATTTCAAAAATTTGAAACGAACTTTCCGAACAACCTAATATATACAGGGTGTTATAAAAGTCCCGGAAGAGCAGAAAACTCGAAAAATATGAGCCCTAGAAAAAATGCGAAGCACTGGGTTTTTATGATTTTTTCCTGGCTATCTGACTGTGACATTGGATTTAATCTTGACAATGACCTTGAAGGTCATTTCAAAGTCAGGTCAATTTTTTTAAATGGGACCCTATACTTTTGATCCCAGAAATGGAAAGAGCGGAAAATTTTACGTTCGGATATGACCTTGAACACTGCCAAATTTGACCTCTGAAGGTCACATAAAGGTCTAAGCTTGTTTTAGAAAACGCGAATATCTTCGAAAATGCACTTGCTAGGGAGCAATGTTACGCATAAGAATAAGAATGTAGAGGTCAACGAGGGACATTCAGCCGTGACCTTGCCCTTATTCTCAAGGTCATGAATTAAGATTATTATTAAGGTCAAACCGGACTTTTTTAGGACTGAAAATCCATACTTTTGACCTAAAAGTGTCAAGATTGAAAAATTTTGCGTTCGGATATGACGTTTTCAACCTTGACTTTGTTCTCAAAATTATGCGTTTTACATTACTTCACTGATCGTGAAGTCTACTGAAAGTACAGCATCTCGGAACCCGACCACTGAAGGCAAGGTGGCTCAAACCCGACCACTGAAGGCAAGGTGTCTCAAACCCGACCACTTAAGGCGAGGTGTCTCAAACCCGACCACTGAAGGCAAGATGTCTCAAACCCGACTACTGAAGGCAAGGTGTCTCAAACCCGGCCACTGAAGGCAAGGTGTCTCAAACCCGACTACTGAAGGCAAGGCGTCTCAAACCCGGCCACTGAAGGCAAGGCGTCTCAAACCCGGCCACTTAAGGCAAGACGTCTCAAACCCGGCCACTGAAGGCAAGGTATCTCAAACCCGACTACTGAAGGCAAGGCGTCTCAAACCCGACCACTGAAGGCAAGATGTCTCAAACCCGGTCACTTAAGGCAAGGTGTTTCAAACCCGACCACTGAAGGCAAGGTGTCTTAAACCCGGTCACTAAAGGCAAGGTGTTTCAAACCCGACCACTGAAGGCAAGGTGTCTTAAACCCGACCACTGAAGGCAAGGTTCAGTTAATCCCGGCCACCGAAGGCGAAGCATCTTGTAACTCGGCCTGAAATTACAAGAGATGTTCAAAATGTTCCCCATTGACCGTTTGACAGTGTGCTAAGCGGACGTACAAATTGTCAGTCGCACTCCTTATCATTTCTGGAGGTATTGCAGCACATTCGTCTATGATCCGTTGTTGAAGCTCATCCAGGTTACGAGGTTTAGTGAAATAAACTTTATTTTTTATGTAGCCCCAAAGAAAGAAATCAAGTGGTGCAATATCGAGCGATCTCAGTGGCCATTCGATTGTTCCTCTTCTACCTATCCATCGATTAGGGAAAGTATCGTTTAAATAGTTCCGAACAATGCGTCCATAATGTGGCGGTGCCCCATCTTGCTGGAACCAAACATCATCAAAATTATCACCAACAATCTCTTGTATTGATGGAACAATTTGGTCTGTTAGAAGCTGCAGATAGGTTTCTGAGTTCAAATTCCCATTTATAAGAAAAGGCCCAATCACTTGATTATCATAAAGACCTGCTCAAACATTCAATTTTTGAGGTCACTGCGTATGTGCTTCAAGCATCCAATGAGGATTTTCGTTGTCCCAATATCTAAAATTATGACGGTTTACCTTACCAGTAATTTCAAAAGACGCTTCGTCTGAAAAAACGATATTATGCAAAAAGTTCGGTTGCTGACCAATTCTTTGCATCATAACTTCTGAAAATTGCACCCTGCGGTCAAAATCATCCTCATTCAACTCATGGTGGAGATGAATTTTGTAAGTGTGGAACTTAATGGTCTTTAGATTTTTGGAAATCGACAATACACTCATTTGAAGCTGTTGAGATGTTTTTCTAATTGACAATCTGGGATTTTCAACAAATGATTGGGCTACTTCAAATTGTCGCTCTTCTGTCGTTTGGGACCTTGGCCTCCCAGATTTTTGGCGGTTTTTATTACTCCCAGTTTCTACAAATCGTCTGATGGTGATACAGTCGATATTGAAATACCTTCGTTTTCATTACGAAAGTTTTCATTGAACAGCAATCTCACTTCACTGTATGACCTTTGTCTATCCCCCCATCCTCTCATCATCAATAGCGAAATTCTCTCATGCTCTATAAGAAAAGCCATTTGGAATTGAAAGCAAAAAATTTGCAAAAATTTGGTATAAAAAATTCGGTTTCTTTACCTTTAAATAAAAATAATAAGTAATGTACCGTTGATCGTTAATAATAATATGATAATAATTCAAAACGGACTAGAATGACACCAAAACTTGTTAAATCGATGAAAACTCAAAAACAATCTATTATCTGTTTGACACTGATAGAATCGAGACAAATAAAAACCTTGAAGCATACACTTTATCGATGGCGAATAAATTTTTCGGATACCGATCCTGGGATTTTTGAGCTCGCTGAAACCGAATTCGACGTCGGATTTTGCAAATTCAAGATGGCCGATTCAAGATAGCGGCCGATATTTAAGAATAATAAAAATTGGATCTCGTTTAAGGAGTTTTTGAAGTCGTTTCTGAAATCGGATCCGACGTTGGATTTTACAAATTCAAGATGACCGATCCAAAATGGCGCCCGGTATTGAGAAATTACCAACAATCGGAGTGTGACCTCGTACGTAACGTAAAATCTCACTCTTCACATTATGGGGGAAAAGTATGTGATGTTATATAGATAAAGTATGAAAACATCATATCCGAACGTAAAATTTTTCAATCTTAACACTTTTAGGTCAAAAGTATGGATTTTCAGTCCTAAAAAAGTCCGGTTTGACCTTAATAAAAATCTTAACTCATGACCTTGAGAATAAGGGCAAGGTCACGGTTGAATGTCCCTCGTTGACCTCTACATTCTTATTCTTATGCGTAACATTGCTTCTTACCAGGTGCATTTTCGAAGATATTCGCGTTTTCAGCCTAAAACAAGCTTAGACCTTTATGTGACCTTCAGAGGTCAAATTTGGCAATGTTCAAGGTCATATCCGAACGTAAAATTTTCCACTCTTTTCATTACTGGGGTCAAAAGTATGGGGTCTTATTTAAAAAATTGACCTGACCTTGAAATGACCTTCAAGGTCATTGTCAAGGTCAAGTCCAATGTCACAGTCAGATAGCCAGGAAAAAATCATAAAAACTCAGTGTTTCGCATTTTTTCTAGAACTCATATTTTTCGAGTTATTCTGCTCTTCCTGGACTTTTATAACACCCTGTATGTCACAATGTCTAACACAGTTTGTATAAACCATCCGGATAAATTATATTACATTTGCGGTCAGTATGTCCTCGAGAAACAAAGATGTGATATTAATAATTCTATTAAAGTGTCGTACTTTCAATATTTCAATCATGAAATCCAATACTGAGATAAAAATTGGGTTCCGCATAAAGTACACAACCACGTCATGAAGAATGTTATTTTTGTTTATGTAACTTGCGCGGTTTTAATAGTAAAATTAAACATCTTATA